CAGGGGGGATGGCCATGCCGCAATGCCTTCTCCTCCATTCTCCTCTCGGGATCTTGGGCACGCACGCACACACGCCCGGCGTGAGTTTAAGCCACCGGGTCCGGGACTCAAACCGCGGTCGACTACGTGGAAGTCCAGTGACATAGCCGTTACGCTAACTGCTGGTCCCCGCGCCTGGCATGTTTTTTAAGCCACCAGATCTGGGACTCAAACCGTGGTTGACTATTTGGGAATCCAGCAACATAATCACTATACCATCTGCTGGTCCCCTTTATTATTAATTTTTAAAAATTTTGCCAGCAGGCATGTATATCTGGAGAGAGACAGAGAAACAGAAAAAGAAAGAGGAAGGGAAAGTGAGAAAGCATCCTCAATGGGAAATAATCATACCATAATCCCTTCTCCATTTCTCCTCCTTTCAGGATTTTGGGCATGCACACACATATACCTGGCATGTTTTTCAAGTCACTGGCCCAAGACTTGAACTGCACAGTCAGCCATGTGTGGCTCCAGCCACCTTAACCACCATACCACAGGCTGGCCCACTTCTAAAATTATTGATGCAGAACAAGTCAAATAAATTAAAGTATTTTGTAAATAAAATCAAATTGTATTTAGGCTCAAGTTCCTGCTAGGCACAAAATTTAACCAAAACAATCTTGTGAATTTAAAATATTGGGTGGTCAGAAAAGTTATGACTCATTCTTGCATGGAAAAACATAGGTGTATTAAGGGCCGCAGGTGGCATGATGGCAAAGGGGCTGGACTCCCACAGGGCCAACTGCGGTTCGAGTCCTAGACTTGGGGCTTGCTTTCTCACTTTCCCTTTCTCTCTAGCTCTGTCTCTCTCTGAATCAAAAAATTCTAAATTATAATTATAAATATTCTTTTAAAATATTATCTAACAAGCCAAACATTTAAAGCAAGATCAGCTTATTTCTACTTTCCTTTAATGTAATGCCGCAGATTATGGGAAAGATGTTTCTAGTTCTGTATATTTTAAGTTATGCATAGTTGGCTTATTTATAATGAGATGTTTAGGTTTGGGCATTTATAAATTACTCATTTGTAGGTTAACTACCTGATCATTGGAAAATATATTATAGTTTGGGTTCTTTCATTTAGGCAGCTAAGGCATTGGAATCTTAAACTAAAAACATAATTTTTTTTTTTTTGGAGAGGTTTTTGCTATAGGGCGCATGCGCTCGCCAGACAGACAGAGAGAGATAGAGAGACAGAAAGCGAGAAATCACCCCCCATGGGGGATGGTCACACCACAATCCCTTCTCCATTCTCCTCTCGGGATCTTGGGCACGCACGCATACGCGCCCAGTGTGAGTTTAGGTCACCGGGTCTGGGACTCAAACCCCAGTCAACTACATGGGATTCCAGCGACATAGCCATTACGCCAACTGCTGGTCCCATAAAAACATAAATTATTTTTGTAACACTGTTGAAAAGACTAAGTTTGTTTTGTTTTGTTTTGCTTTTTAGGTTTTGTCTTAGGGCGTGTGCACTTGCCAAAGAGAGAGAGAGCCATACAGAGGAAGAGAAAATGAGCTATCATCCCCCAGGGAGGATGGCTTCACTGCAATTCCTTCTCCACTTTCCTCTTGGGATTTGAGGCAGGCACACAATGGCATGAGTTTCAAGCCACCGGGTCTGGCACTTGAACTGTGGTCAGCCATGTGGGAGTCCATTGCCTTAACCACCACATGGCCTGTTGGCCCTCAGCTAAGTTTCATGTGCGTATGTGTGTAATTGGCAAAACTTACATCACAAAGTCCTTTAGGGAGTCACTTTCACAAACGTAGAGAATCTCTTTGGGTTTGCAGTGGAACAAGTCCTTAATTTTCTCCATGATCTTTATGGCTATGGCTGTCTTCCTGGTTCCTGGAAAGCAGTGGATGAATAATTCACGTGTCTCCTGAAGGCTCTCGGAAAGCAACTCACTCTGCTCTGCTATGAGCAAGTTGACAAATTCACAGCCCAGCTGGTCACTCAGGAGAGACCTGGAGCACAGCGAGAGGACCACCAGGGCCTGCAGCAAGCCTGCCATTTCATCCTCGTTAGCAAGTCTGTAGGACTGCGGGTAGTGCACAGGAATTTCGCCAGGTCTACACTGTGTGCTGGTCAGAATCAGCCTGGGAAGGACACACAGTCTCCCAGTGTAACCACCGACACTTTGCAATTTCTGCTTTAACTGACGAGCCGTGTTTCGGGCATATTCGGCGGCTCCAGTCCAGCTGGGGTCTAACAAGATGGTGTAGAGCACCAGGGGGCTGTTGAGTGCTATCAGGAGAGCATCGCACAGGACGCTCCGCTCCTCCCTTAGGCCGATGTCACCAGCCCAGCTTCTAGAAAGTAGCACAATCCCTTGAGAACAAGGATATATCTGTGTCTTCATTAATTCCTCCAGTCCTTTATGAGCTGAGAACAACTTCTTACAGAGGGATTCCGGTTTAAATTGTATCTCTTCCCGTGTCACTGAAAATTCAAATATAAATCACCAAAAATTACAAAAGCAGATAGTAAGGAGGAAAAGACTCTAGCCATCCTTTCCAAAAAAAAAAAAAAAGGGACCAGCAGTTAGCATAATGGCTATGTCACTGGACTCCCACATAGTCGACCATGGTTCAAGTCCGGACCCAGTGACTTAAACACGCCAGGCACATGTGCGTGCGTGCCCAAGATCCCGCGAGGACAATGGGATAGAAGGGATTGCAGCGTGGCCATCCCTCCCCGGGGAGGGGGGGGTTGTTTCTCACTTTCTGTCTCTCTGTCTCTCTCTGTCTGTCTGGCCAAAAAAAAACCCCCCCAAAAAAAAAAAAAAAAAAAGACTCTAGTCATGCAACTGTGGGTTTCCTTGCCTGCGAAGACAGCAACGCCTCTTCACAGCCCAGGGTGTTGTCATTTCTGACAGCTCTTGCGCAGGGAAAACCATCAGGGAGAGGCCCTCACTGAACGGCCTCCTACCACACTCTCTCCTCAACCCCAGATGGTCCGTACAGCCAGGAAGTCACGCCTTCCTATTAAGAGCTTTGGTTAACCTGATTTTTTTTTTTTTTTTTTTGAAACCAAGAACTTTCCTTTAGAACAGGAATTCTGAACCTTCAGCAATTTTGTACCCCCCATCCTCTCACCCAGGGAGCATTTGGCCATGTCTAGAGAATTTCTGATGGTCACAACTGGCCCATAGTGGGTAAAGGTCAGAAATGCTGCCAAGCATCCCACAATTCACAGGGCACCACCACCACCCCCCGTCCCCACAACAAAGACCAAAGGTCCATACTACAGTCCTGGACAGAGGAGCCTTGCTGTGGGAGCTCAGGCGAATCCACAGTTCCACCAGCACTGGAGAGCCCAAAGGCAATTCTCTACTAGAGACCTAAGGAGTGCCCAGCACTCTCCAGTTTGCACAGGAGCCATAGCAACTGGAAACCAAGAGCACATGGAAGCATAGTGGGGTCTTGTTGGGAAACAAGACTCAGACACGTACCTTATTTCAGGACCATGATGCCTGCTACAGCCTACGTCTGACCGCTAGGAGAAAGACTTGTACCAGGTGCTCCTACCAGTCCCTCCCAGCTCAATTTTAGAAAACAATAGTCCCCTCAGCTGAAATCGAGAGAATACCTGGAAACAAACGCCGTTGCAGAGCCCCCTTAAATTCCAAGACTTTAGTGGGATATACTGGGCTTGGTAGTACAGCCGAGGCCGGTGAAATCAGGAGAGAGCCGTAGTCTGTGGCCAAACTGGACCGCGCTAAACCAGCAACGTGAAAAGTTGTTTTGACAAAAAAATAAAAGCAGTAAGTTAAAGACACGTGAGTGCCTGGTGCCTGGGCCGGTGTCACACTTACTGAGCCTCAGTGGTGCATATCTGGAAGGAGAGTCTGGCTATCCCTGCAGGGCCTTGCGCATGCTGACTCTGTCTCATTTGGGGCAAGTCACTTCACCTCCCTCTGAGGGGATGATCCTGCAGATTCTTTCCAACTCTAACATTCTGATTCCAGGTCATTACTAAGAAAAGACTTCTAGTGGGCTTAGCAAAGACTGAGCACAGGGCACCAGGAGATGGTGTAATGGCTATGTCACTGAACTCCCATGTAGTCAACTGTGGTTCAAGTTCTGGACCTGATGGCTTAAAACTCACGCCACGGGGGACCAGTAGTTAGCATAATGGCTATGTCACTGGACTCCCACATAGTCGACCGCGGTTCGCGTCCCGGACCCAGTGGCTTAAAACTCACGCTGGGTGCGTGTGCGTGCGTGCCCAAGATCACAAGAGGAGAATGGAGGAGAAGGGATTGTGGCATGACCATCCCCCCTGGGGGGTGATTTCTCGCTTTCTGTCTCTCTGTCTCTCTCTGTCTGGCGAGCGCACACACCCTATAGTGAAAACCTCCCAAAAAAAAAAAAAAAAAAAAAAAAAACTCACGCCAGGCGTGTGTGTGTGCATGCCCAAAATCCCAAGAGGAGAATGGAGGAGAAGGGATTGTGGTGAGGCTATCCACCCTGGGGAGTGATTTCTCACTTTCTGTCTCTGTCTTTCTCTGTCTCTGGAAAATGCACACGCCCTATAGTAAAAATCTCTTAAAAAAAAAAAAAAAGATTGAGCACAGAATTTTTATTTATTTGTTTATTTATTTATTTATTTTTAGGGTATGTGCACTTGCCAGAGAAAGAGATATGAAAGATATCACTTTCCACGGGCATGGAGAGGCCACAGTCCATTCTCCACTTTCCTCTTGGGATTTCGGGCGTGCACGCACACACATCTAGTGTGATTTTCAAGCTGCCAGACTGGGTCCAGGGCTCAAACTGTGGCTGGCCATGTGGGAGTCCAGTGACTTAACCACCACACCACCTGCTGGCCCCTAAGCACAGAATTTTAAAAATATTGTTATAGTTGTTAAATTCCTACCCAAGAATAGATGGAATTGAAAGTGGCAAGGTCTCTAGTTTTGTGCATGTGTGACAGAGAGAGAGAGAGAGAGAGTGACTCAAACAAATTTAGGACAAGACAAAGAATGAGCCAGTAAATTTTATTAATCATTCAAGTCTTGATCCAGGCTTCTTTGATCAAATTTGGAACATACTAGCCATGAAGCAAAGCTGATAAGCCTAGTTCCACTTCTAGATTAATTAGGAGTCATCAAGGCTGATTCCTGCAGCCACTTTTGTATCATTTTATATTAACTCCTTTTTTTTTTTTTTTGGAGAGGTTTTTGCTATAGAGCACGTGCACTCACGAGACAGACAGAGAGAGACATAGAGACAGAAAGCGAGAAATCACCCCCCAGAGGGGATGGCCACGCCACAATCCCTTCTCCTCCATTCTCCTCTCGGGATCTTGGGCACGCACGCACACGCGCCTGGTGTGAGTTTTAAGCCACCAGGTCCGGGACGCGAACTGCGGTCGACTATGTGGGAGTCCAGCGACATAGCCATTACGCTAACTGCTGGTTCCCTCATTTTATATTAACTCTTAAAGTTACTGAAAAAGCTCTAATTTGTCAACAATGTTTTTCTCTAAAGTTTTCGCAGAGAATATCCTTTTAAGAGTGAGATTGTTACTATTTTGACTATCAATATCAGCCTGTAAAAATTTCTCAACAGTGGCTTAATAGGTAGTCTATTGGTTAAGAGACTGGACTTCCACATGACTGACCACAGTTCAAGTCCCAGATCTGGTAACTTGCTTTCTCACTTTTACTTTCTCTCTTTGGTCAAATAAAAATTTAACAAATAATTTTTTGGACAGAGTTTTGCTATAGGGCATGTGCACTTGCCAGAGAAAATGTGAGAAATCACCCTCCCCTCCCCCAGAGGGATGGCTATGCCACAATCCATGCTCTTCCATTCACCTCTTGGAATATTTTTAAAGAACTATTTCACTTAACTTTATTTGTTTATTTATTTATTTTAATTTGACCGGATAGAGACAGAGTGAGAGAGAAAAAAGAAAGAGAGAGAGGGAGAGAGAGATTGAGAAAGCAAGCCACCATACCAAGGACAAAAACAGCAGTCAGCCATGTGGGAGGCCAGTGCCACCCACCATGTCACCTGCTGGCCCGTCTCCTCTTGGAATTTTAGGTACACATGCACACACCCCTGGCGTGAATTTCAAGCCTCCGGGTCTGGGAATCGAACTGTAGTCAGTCATGCAGGAGTCCAGCACCTTAACCACTATGCCACCTGCTGGCCCCAAATAAATAATTCTTTTTAAAAAAGTTATTTTCAACAGGGGCCAGTAAGTGGTGTAATGGTTAAGACATTGGATTTCACATGGTCATCTTTGTGGTTCGAGTCCCAGACCCAGGGGCTTGAAAGTCATAGCAGGCACATGTGCATGTGTGCCCAAAATCCCGAGAGGAGGATGAAAGGGAAGAGACTGCAGTGTGGCCATCCCCTCCAGGAGGTGATTTCTCTCTTTGCCTCTGTGTCTTAAGTCAGCACACATCCCCTAGGACAAAAAAAAAAAAAAAAAAAAGTTTTTCAACAGATCTTTCATCCTATATGAAAGGGAACTTTCATTGATTCATGTCTGATGGCAAAAAATAGGCTAACATCCAAATATTTCTTGTCCTCAGAATCATTCATGTTCTGAGTATTTGGCACCAAAAATGTTAGAAAAAAGAATCCTATAATGAGAGAACCTTTGCAAGCAAAAATAGCTTTTATTTTTTTTTTTTAGATAGATAGATTTTTGCTATAGGGCATGTGTGCTCACCAGAGAGAGACAGAGAGCATAAAAGAGACAGAAAGCATAAAATCACTCCCGAGGGGCAATGGCCACACCACAATCCCTTCTCTTCCATCCTCTTAGGATCTTGGGCATGCACACACATGCACCCGGCGTGAGGTTTAAGCCACAAGGTCCAGGACTTGAACCACAGTGGACTATGTGGGAGTCCAGTGATGTAACCATTTTGCCATCTGCTGGTCCCAGCTTTCTATTTTTAAACTAAACTCTGACTCAATCCGCAAAGGATGGAGAAGGGGCTGGATGGCTTTGCTTCCCCATTACCTGACTGAATATCCAGCATGGTGACCACCCAGTGCTCAGCTGTCAGCCTCGTGACCATGTTGTCTCTCATGATCCAGGAATCCGGGGCCTCCGCGAACACCACACAGCAGAAGGGCTCCACTCGAACCACACAGACATAACCATACAGGACATCTTTTTGATACACATTCAAGATTTTGGTGGTGAAATTCACCTTCAGCTTCTCACGGCAGAAGTGGAAGGTGGGCAATTTTTCTATGCAGTTCTCTATTTCCTTTTTTAATAAGTCAGGGTTCACTTTTTCCCTCTTACACCCGAACACTTCTTTGCTCTTGTCATCCACCCCGATAATTAGGTATCCCCCTTGAGTGTTGGCAAATGCAGAAACATAATGAGGCAGCATTTCCTTAATCCGAGGGACAATTTTTTTGGTGGTGAACCTTTTAAACTCAACATGCGTTGACTCCGTAAAGTTGAGTTTCTCTTTGTACATAAGTTTGTCTTTTTTAAAAAATTCAGAGGCAGACATCTTTATATCTTCCTCTTCCTGGGTGTAACTGCGGAGTCCTTGCTGAGGCAGCAGCAGCTCCTCCACCGGCCGTCTTCTGTGGGCTCCAGCCTCCTTCTCTCTGAGAAGCTCTAGGGCACCAGAGGCGCTCAGGTTGATGGCAGACGTCACATCTCTCCCATACAAATTGGAACGCAAGCTGCAGATCCTCAGCGGGAGGCTGAAAAGATCTGGGCTCCATGGCTTCACAAAAATCAGGAGAGTGTGGCCCTGCTGCATGCAGTCCAGATACCTCTGTGAACCTGAAGGAAGAAGCTTTTGAAAAGAAGTTTCCAAATCCTGCCCCAGCCCGTGGCATCGGTAGCTGTAGGTTTTATCCTCTAGCTCTGCTTTGATCACACCCCCTCCAGAGTTTAACAGCGCGCATACAGCCTGGATGATTTTCAAATTCTCAGCTCTTTTCAGACACCCATTGGGCATCTTCTTCCTGTTCTCTTCTCCGAAAGTCACTTTGCCCACTTCAACTATGATCTCGGGATAGGGCATTTCTTCATCGTTCTTGGGACCCTCCATCCGAGCAGCCCCTCAGTGATCCACAATAACAGAACTGGGTTCCTGTAAATATTCAGAACAGCATTGTTTTTATATTAACAAGAATTCCAGCGAGTTCAATATTTTCCTCAAAGTTATCAGTTATTGGGGATACATTTTTAACATTGGAAATAATCTTTGTTATTGTTGCTTTCTAACAACTTTGCCAAATATCTTTAGCCTTTCCAGAAGAATAGGTATAAATGAAAGAGAATGCTTAACATTTTGCCTTAATGGAAGAATTATATTTTTGAAATTTTCAGCCATTTTTCATTTAAAATCAGGAAGTGCAAACATTGAGCTCAGATATAAAAGGCATGGGTTGGCACAAGGGCCAAAGTCAGTCATTTGAGAATGTGAAAAAATACTAGGTTGTCTGGAAAGTCATGAATATTTTCCTATGTTTTTATTTTCTTTTTAAAAAAAGTCATTATTTATTTATTTATTCATTTATTTACTTATTTTTAGTTTGACCAGAAAGAGACGGGGGCGGTGGAGAGAGAAAGCAAGCTGCCAGTTCCTGTACTTGAACCGCAATTGGCCATGTGAGAGTCCAGTGCCCTAACCAACACGCCACTTGCCAGCCCCCCTATGTGTTTCTATGCAAAAATGCGGCATGACTTTCCTAACAACCCAATAGAAGTCAGAAGATGCTCCTATTCATGAGTCAATGGGGAAGGAATGGCTGGTAGCAGAGAACTAAAGGAATGTAGATTTGGAGTACAGGTACTGTAGAAGATCTTGCTATAAAAACAAACACAAAATTTTATATTTAAAAGTTTGCTCGCTTATTTATTTCTGAGAGAGAGAGGGGCACACCCAAAAAGATCGTCATACCACAACCCACCCCTAGCCTCAGTTGTCCAGGATTGGGAGCACATACATGCCCAGTGTGAAGAGGGGGACCCTGGGATATGGACCGAGGACCTGCTTAGCTGGGTGTGAGTTCAGTATCACAAAGTTGCATTGCCACTATGCCACTGCAGCTGGTCCAAATTTGGCATTTTCAGATGCTATTTTAGGGGGCTGGCAGTGGTGTGGTAGTTAAGGCACTGGACTCCCACATGGTCAACCACAGTTCGAGTCCAGGACTGGTGGCTTGAAACTCACACTGGGCATGCATGCTTGTGTGCCCAAAATCCCAGGAGGAGGCTAGAGAAGATCGCAGTGTGGCCATCCTCCTGGGGGGCGGGGGGTGATTTCTCACTTTCCCTCTCACTGTCTCTCTGTCTGCTCAGTGAGCACACATTCCCTATGGCAAAAACATTTAAAAAAAAAATGAGGGCCAGCAGTGGCGTGGTGGTTGAGGCACTGGACTCCCACATGGCAGACTGTGGTTCAAGTCCCACACCTAGCAGCTTGACTTGCTTTCCCACTTTCCTTTTCTGTCTCTCTCTGGTCAAATTAAAAAGTCATAACAACAAGTGACCAGCAGGTGGCACAGTGGTTACATTGTTATACTCCCACATAGGCTGACCACAGTTTGCGTCCCAAACCTGGTGGCTTAAAACTCATGCCAGGAGGCCAGCAGGTGGTATGATGGTTAAAGGCGCTGGACTCCCACATGGCCGACCATAGTTCAAGTCCTGGACCTAGTGGCTTGCTTCATCACTTTCCCTCCTTCTCTCTGATCACATTGGAAGATAATAATAACAAATAAAGTTAAAATGAAAATAATTCTTTAGGTACCAGCAGTTGGCGTAATTGCTATGTTACTGGGCTTCCATGTAGTCGACCGTGGTTTGAATCTCGAACCTGGTAGCTTAAACTCATACCGGGCATGTGTGCATACGTGCCCAAGATCCCGAGAGGAGAATGGAGGAGAAGGGGTTGGGGTGTGGCCATCCCCCCCCTGGAGGGGTTGATTTCTTGCTTTCTGTCTCTATGTCTCTCTCTGTCTTTCTGGTGAGTGCATGCACTCTGTAGCAAAAACCTCTCCAAAAAAAGAAAATATTTCTAAAATAAACCCAAAAAACAAAAAAAAACCCTCATGCCAGGTGTACATGCATGGGTGCCCAAGATCCACAGAAGAGAATAGAAGAGAGGGGACTATAGCATGGCCACCTGTCCTTGGGGGTGATTTCTCATTTTCTGTCTCTCTTTGTCTCTCTGGTGAGTGCATGCACCCTAAAGCAAAAATCCCTCTTGCAATAATAATAATAAGAAGAACAAGAAAAATAACAACAAATAAAATTAAATAAACAAATTTTTTTTAAAAAGCTATTTTATACATTTTTAAAAGCTTTCCCTGGGGCCAAGAGGTGGTGTAATGGATAGGGTACTGGACTTTCACATGGCCAACCATGGTTTGAGTCCCAGAGCTGGAGGCTTGCTTTTTCACTTTCCCTCTTTCTCTCTCTGTGTCTCTCTGGAAATATGAAAATAATAATAATAAATTTAAATAAAATAATTCCTTTTTTAAAAAAGCTTTCCCCTATTTCTAAAAGAATATCAAAAGCAAAAGTCTTTTCAGCTCTTCACACATTCTCTAAAAAAATTTTATTGAGAGGTTTTTGCTATAGAGTGCAGTGCATGCGCTCGCCAGAAAGACAGAGAGAGAGAGACAGAAAGTGAGAAATCACCTCCCAGGGGGGATGGTCACGCCGCAATCCCTTCTCCTCCATTCTCCTCTTGGGATCTTGGGCATGCACGCACACGCACCCGGCATGCGTTCAAGCCACCGGGTCCAGGACTCAAACAGCGGTCAACTACATGGGAGTCCAGCGACATAGCCATTATGCCAACTGCTGGTCCCACATTCTCTAAAATTTTAAAAGTACATTTCTTCTTATGTTGTGTGATGTGGGAGCAGGAGTTCTCTTTCTCTCCTAGTAGATCAACCCTATGTTGTGGGAATGCTGAGTCTTGGGTGAAAACAATGAACTTTTGGAGCATGGTCATTAAACTAACCTTTCCTCCTTTTGCTTCATAAGCACTTAGTTTGAAATTAGAGCTCTGAAGCAAATTTTTCAGAAAGGACTCCCTTACCTTTGGTTAATTGCAAAACAAAATATTTACTAACTCAAACCAAAATTCTTTCTTTAGGAGAAGAGTGCTCACCTCTCTGAGTGGTCTTTGTGAAGCAGGGCCTTGTGGATGTTGCTTACACTCACTAGGAGGCAAAAAGCTCACGTCCAGTAAGACATGTACCCTCCTCCGGCATCACTCTGCTCCTGGGTGTCTTCTCACTCTTCAGGCCACCCAGGATCAACCTGAGGAGTCATTTCTAGTACAAGAGCCTCTCCTGCAGGTATATGTAAGTGTAGTAGTTTATGTCCTTAGGGAAATTCCCCATAGCATTCTATTCCAATCACAGAAGTGTTAGAAGGTACTTTAAAGATCTTCAAGTCCAATCATCTATCTGATTCTTAAATCCTGTTCTATCCTATCTCCAACTCCCAACAAACCCAGAGACCAGTAACACACTCTCTCTCAAAGTAGTCCTTTCTCTATTCTGACAGCTGCAATTTGTCTCTCTGTAAGTTCCACCGATGGGATCCACAGAACAAATCCAACTGATTTTGTGTGTGTGTGTGTGTGTGTGTGTGGGTGGGTGGTTTTTTTTTTTTTAGGATTTTTTACTTCATGAGAAAAAGAGAGACACCCCCGGCAATGTCTCAATACCACAGTCCGCCTCAGCCTCAGCCAGCCCCAGGTCACTGGCACATACACAGGTGTGCCCGGCGTACTCAGGGAGCTCTCCAGACACAGACCGGCAACCCTCCCCCATGGTTCTGGCTTAGAGCATCACAGTTTAATGCTGCACACCACCTGGCCCCTCTAACTGATCTGGACTGGCAGACCCTATGGTCTCCCGACTCCCAAGTCTCATTGATATTACTTGGATGCTGATAGCCATGATAAATTCAAAGTTTCCTGAGATTTCAACCTTCTATCCCTTTTACACTTGCCAGAACTTCTCATTCATTTTCTTTTATAAGTTTCTCTCAAGCTATTGTTTTATAAAATCCTCAGATTAAAAAAAAAAAAAAAGCTGTACCTAAAATGAGATAGATGAGATTAAAAAAAATTTTTTTTTTTTTTACCTGATGCCCTTGTGTGTCCTCTTGCTGCTTCAGTTCCACGTCTGGCTGTCTCATTGATATTACTTGGATGCTGATAGCCATGATAAATTCAAAGTTTCCTGAGATTTCAACCTTCTATCCCTTTTACACTTGCCAGAACTTCTCATTCATTTTCTTTTATAAGTTTCTCTCAAGCTATTGTTTTATAAAATCCTCAGATTAAAAAAAAAAAAAAAGCTGTACCTAAAATGAGATAGATGAGATTAAAAAAATTTTTTTTTTTTTTTTACCTCATGCCCTTGTGTGTCCTCTTGCTGCTTCAGTTCCACGTCTGGCTTTGGTCTGAATGTTTGCCTGTTGTCATGGCCCCTGCTGCCCTCTGATATCAGCCTGGGAGGAGCAGGAACTTTGCCAGACTCCCCCGGTCTTCACAACATTGACCCACTGAGGAAGGCTGATAAAGACTCAAGAAGGGCCTGTGACAGGGCAGTTTAACAGGCCAGGGCTGACCTCAGGGAGTGAATGAGGTGGTAATGGGAAAACACAGGGTTTGCGAGTGAGCAGCCAGAATTAAACGCCACCGCTTCTAAGGGAATGAACATAAATCCACGTGTACAAGCACCTTCTACCCTGGTTAATTTTGTTTGCAAAGCTCTACGCTCATTTTAACTTAAGTTATCCTGCATGGAGTCGTTATGAACAGTATTAACCTATTTCATCCCTTTCAAACGACTTGTTCTATCCTATGTACATTTATTCCTTTTCCTCCTCTTGTTAGACACAAGAACCAGCTTAGAAAAATGCTTATAGATGGGGAGCTGGCTTTCCCAGGGTGTGAGGATTATAGGCAATTTCCCATTTATCTTTTTTGTCTTCACTTTCTTTCTTTTCTTCTTCTTTTTAAAAAAATTTTCAGTTAACTTTATTCATTTATTTATTTCAATTTGACCAGAGAGGGAGAGAGAGAGAGAGAAAGTGAGAAAGCAAGCCGCCAGTTCCGGGACTTGAACCGTAGTCAGCCATGTGGGAATCCAGCGCCCTTAATCACCACACCACCTGCTGGCTCCTTTCTTTTCTTCTTTGTCAACTATTCTGTGTATATATATATATATATATATTTTAATAGAGGGAGATTTTTTGCGATAGGGTGCACGTGCTTGCCAGAGAGACAGAAAGACAAAAAGCAAGAAATCAACCCCCAGGGGAAATGGCCATGCCACAATATCTTCTCCTCCATTTTCCTCTCGGGATTTTGGGCATGCATATACACATGCCTGGTGTGTGTTTCAAGTTGCTGTATCCGGGACTTGAACCATGGGCAACTTCGTGGGAGTTCAGCAATGTAATTATTATGCCATCTGCTGGTCCTTGTTTTGTGTTTATTTAAATGGCTTACAGTGAGCATGAATTGTTTTTATAATTTAAAATTTTATAATTTAAAAACAATTAAGTAGGGAGCCTCTAGAACTCCTGGAGAGAGCTGGTCCTGCTGATACCTTGATTTGAGTGAAGCTGATTCTGAATTGTTAGCGAATTGTTTGTGGTAACTTGTTATGGCCAGCCACTGGCAATTAATACACTTCTCTTTCTAAATCAACCCAGCAAACATTTCTACTTCAATTTGTTTATGAGAAAGTGGCTTTCTTAAATAGGTCTCTGGCCATCCCTGTTTTGTTTTTAAAAGTTTAGCTACCAGGCACATGAGATGCTGGAAACAGAGAGAGACAGAAAGGGAAAGTGAAAAATCTCCCCCCCTCCAAGGAGGATGGCCACACCATAATCCTTTCTCTTCCAGTCTCCAGAGATTTGGGGCATGCTCATACACTCACCCAGTGAGTTTTTTAAGCTGCCAAGACCAGGACTCAAACTGCATAGCTGGCTGTGTGGAATCCAGCCGCCTTAACCACCAGACCATCTGCTGATCCCCAGGCATCTCTGCTCTATTCTGTTAGCTTCTGCTGCCCCTACACTAAGTTCTGCTATATGGGCATTACTAAGCCTTGTACATACTTGACTGAATGGAGTTCTCGGGACAGGAGGCAGAGGGGATATGATGATGCATAATTAGCATGGCAACATAAGCTCCACAGGTTGGCTTTGACTTCAGTTTTAGTCCTTTGTCACTCATGTCACTTTTGAGTTCAGTCTCACTGAGGGGACTGCAGCATGGCCATCCTTCTCGGGTGTACTTTCCCCCTTCCCCTCTCTCTACATCTACCTTCCTTGTCAGTCTCAGTTTCACACTGCAACCCCTTTGATACTGTTTATTTTTAAAAGGATAAAATGATCACCTTTTTTTTTTTGTTTTTTGAGAGGTTTTTGCTATAGGGTGCATGCGCTCGCCAGAAAGACAGAGAGACAGAAAGTAAGAAATTACCCTCCTACCCCCCGGAGGGATGGCCACGCTGCAACCCCTTCTCCTCCATTCTCCTCTCGGGATCTTGGGCACGCACGCACACTACCGGCGTGAGTTTAAGCCACCAGGTCTGGGACTTGAAACCATGGTCGACTACGTGGGAGTCCAGTGACATAGCCATTACACCAACTGATGTTTGTGTACCATTTATTTTTCAAGAATTATTTATTTAATTTTATGTGTTATTATTATGTTTTAATTTGACCATAGAGAAAAAAAAAGGAAAGTGAGAAAGTAAGCTACCAGGATCAGGACTCAAACCATGGTCAGCCATGTGGGAGTCCAGCATCTTAAGCACCATGCCTCCTGACAGCTATGTGACCACCATTTATTGAAAATGTACTTACTAGGTGCAAGGAACCATGCTGGGAGCTCTACCCACTACATGGAAACTTGAGATTATGAGGTGAGTAAGTGGAAGAGTGGGTCCCTTTCTCTCTCCCTCAAAACCAGGTCAGATTCAAATAATCCTGCTCCTTTCAAGGTTGTGATTCTGGAATGCTTGTGTGAAGGCTTCAAAGTCAGAAGTCTCACCAAGCACCTCCCTGTTAGGTTTGATTTGGGAGCAGTGGTGAAGTCAGAGGCAGCAAAGGCGAAAATACCAGAGTCAGGCTTTGGGTCAGAGGCTGAGGGTGTCACACCTAGGTTGAGTGCTGCTCGTTCTTAAAGGGCCATTGTCCAATAGGTGCTCGCCATCGGTCCTTGTCTGGCCAATGAAGTTCGCTGTTTCTGTTCAACTTTGGCTGGCGTGCCAAATGCTGAAGGACAGGAAAGTCCGTTGGTGATGGCAGGCCAGGTGTAGACAACAGGAAAGTTCCTGCTGGCGGGAATGTTTCCGCCATGTTTCTTTTCCCTTCCCCCAGACCTTACACTCCCTCTTTCCCCCCTGTCTACAGAAAGGATATCAGCTGGGCAGGGAAACTAAAAACTGGATTGTTTTCTTCTGCAGTACACTGTGGAGGATCGAATCGGGGAGGGTGCTAATGTGGATGAGCAAAGAGGGTTTTTCCCTTCCTTCTTCAAACTCTTTAGTTAAGTCCCTGGACATGAATAGTTGTCAGGCTAGGGAGGACCTCACATTTAAACCTTGGTATCTCTAAAGCAAATGTTCCTGAAATGAAAGAATTTGAAATCAGTGACTCAGACAGTACTTTTTCCTGGGTCTTGGGGAAGTTACTTGGCCAAGTTGTTGATGATTGGTGAAGAACTGGAACACCCAACTTACTTAAGGCTTGTTCACTCATTAAGCATTTCCTTTTACAAGCAGAGGTAGTTATGGCACAGCCTGCATGTGCCACAGACATGAACTGACAAATAGCGACTGAAGGGGACAAGTTTGTCTCTCTTGACCCTGAGGTGTCTCCATCTCACACTTCGCTCTTTCAGAGAGATGACTTGAAGATGACTTGAAGACTACAGACCGTATAATGATGAAGAGCAATAGTCCTGAGTCCACCATACCACTCACCCTGGGTATGTTTCCTTGCCTTCATTTATTCTTTCATTCAGTTGGCTATTTTGGGGTACCTATTTTGGAGCACTGCTAGTACCTAGCTATAAAACTTTGGCTAAGCCAACCTAAGCTTCAGATTCCTTCTATGTCAATAGAAAAAACAATCGGGGACCAGCAGGTGGTGTGGTGGTTAAGGTGCTGGACATTCTCATATGGTCAACCATGGTTCAAGTCCTGACCTGGTGGCTTGCTTTCTCGCTTTCTCTCTCTGTGTGTGTCTCTCTAGTCAAAATAAAATAAGTAAATGAGTAAATAAAATTAAAAATATTTTTAAAAAAATAACAGTGCCTTCTCTGCAGAGTACTTGTGAGAATGAAGGGAGATGATACACACAAGAGTCAGCATGGTACCTGGCATATAATGTCAGCTTTTCATTCAATAATCCGTTATCAAGGGCCAGACAGTGGTGTAGCAGTAATGCAACTGGGTCCACAGGGCAAAGGTCTTGGGTTCACTTCCTGGATCTCCCTGAGCATAACAGACACTCATATGTGCCTGTGATCTGGACTGGTTGAGAATGGGGTATGGATCACAGTATGAAGACCCTGTAGGGGATCCTTCTCTCTCTCAGGAAAGAAATCAATTAAGTTTTTTGGGGGACCAGCCGGTAGCATGGTGGATAAGGGCACTGGACTCCCACATGGCTGACCACGGTTCGAGTCCCGGACCTGGCGGTTGCTTTCTCACTTCCCCCTCCCCTTACTCTGACCTTCTCTGGTTAAGTTTAAATAAATAAAGTTAAATAATTCTTACAAAAAAAAAAAATAACATCAGATGAGGGGCCGTCAGGTGATGTGGTGGTGGCATAGTGGTTAAAGGCACTGGATTCCCACATAACTGACTGAGGTTTGAGTCCTGGACTTGGTGGCTTGTTTTCTCACTTTCTCTCTTGCACTCTCTCTCTCTCTCCCTTCCTCCTTCTCACTATGTCCCTTTCTGGTCAAATTGAAATAAACAAATGAATAAATAAATAAAGTTAAATAAAATAATTATAAAAAAAAGGAATAACATTAGCTGAGTACTCTACAGTCCAGGCATTGTTCTCATTTGTCTCACAACGGCTTTATGAGGAAGGTGCATTGCTGTTATTATCCTATTTTTATGGGTAGGGAAACTGAAGAACAGAGTTTAAGTTGCTTGCCCATATAATCCTTGTGCATGACCAGCGCATTCTAGCGCCACTCTGGAGAGTAGCAACATGAGCAGTGTACTCTGAGCTACAACAGCTACACTTGCAAGAAGAACTTCCCAACAAGAAAAAATCCCAGTCCAGCTCTACAGCATGTACAATGGTTAAGTGCTGAGCACTGAAAGCTGGATCCCACACGGCAGACAGGAGTTCAAATTCTGGACCTGGGCTTGTATGCATACACCCAGGATCCTGACAAGATGGAAAATTGAAAGAGAAAGGATTAAGGCCTGATCAGGCCATGTTGTGAAGTACTTTTTCGGGCACACACATATATTCTCTACCACAAATAAAAATGAACAAACTTAAAAAAGGAAAGGATTTACCAACTAAGAGTGAATTAGAAGTTATAAGTAAGAATGTACCAGACCAAGAAAGGAAGATAAACGGGTAACAAATAAACCAGGTAAAGGAAACAGCACATGCAGAGAAATATTCTCACGTCTAACCCCTCCTATCTTTAGAAGTACAAAGGAGATCCTGAATGGCTTGAGTACAGATCTTCCATTTCCTCCTAGTCTTCCCTTTCATTTCTTTATATTCTACCCATTCCTATCTGACACTCATCCTCTGTGCTTGCCTTTTACATGCCACCTCTCTATTCACACTGCCACAGTCTAATTTAGGCAGTTAGCTCTCACCTGGACCTTTGGAGTACCTTCCCCTGCTTTCACTCTTCCCCTCCTCTAATCTAAACACAGAGGCAAGATTGAGTTTTCTAAAGCTCCTGGGAGCTCAGAACCTCATCACCTAACTTCTTAGCCTCCGAAGTCTTCAACTCTTTCACTTTCTCCAGAGTACTCTGAACCAGTCAGCCAGCTATCCTTAAAGCTTTGACCTGTCTTTCCAGTCTTCCACACCCCTTTTATTTAATACTAACACTGGTCCTCAAACTTTGGTGAATTAGATTTGCTTGGGAGGGAGAGGTAAGGGCTTACTTCTTAAAAATATGCATGCTTGGGGCCAGCAGGTGGCATAGTGGTTACAACACTAGACTCTCACATGGTGGACCACAGTTGGAGTCCCAGACCCAGGGGCTTAAAAGTCACACCAGGTTGGGAACCAGCAGTTAGCGTAATGGCTATGTCGCTGGACTCCCACGTAGTCGACCGCGGTTCGCGTCTCGGACCCGGTGGCTTAAATCTCACGCCGGGCGCGTGTGCGTGCGTGCCCAAGATCCCGAGAGGAGAATGGAGGAGAAGGGATTGCGGCGTGACCATCCCCCCTGGGGGGTGCTTTCTCGCTTTCTGTCTCTCTATCTCTCTCTGTCTGTCTGGCAAGCGCACGCGCCCTATAGCGAAAACCTCTCAAAAAAAAAAAAAAAAAAATTCACACCAGGTGTGTGTGTGTGTGTGTGTATTCCCCAAATCCAGAGAGCAGAATGGAGGAGAAGGTTTCTTACTTTCTCTGTGTCTCTAGCAAGCACACATGCCCTACAGTAAAAATCTCTAAAAAAAGAAAAAAGCGAAGGTGGGAGGGTGGGGACAGCTGCAGATGGTGAAGCAGATGGTGGAGAGGTTACATCCCTGCACTTGCACATGGCCGACCGTGGTTCAACCCAGTGGCTTAAAAATCACACTGGGTGCATATGTGTGCATTCCCAAGATCCCAGGAGGAAAATGGAGAAGGGCTTGTGGTGTGGTTATCGCCCCCAACCCCCCACCACCCAGGGATGATTTCTCACTTTCCCTCTCTGGCTCTGTCTCTCTTCCACCAGCTCATACACCCTATGACACCCTTAAAAAAAATGCATGCCTTGGGACCAGCAGTTAGTGTAATGGCTATGTCATGGACTCCCACGTAGTCGACCACGGTTCGAGTCCTGGACCCGGTGGCTTAAACTCACACCGGGTGCGTGTGCGTCCATGCCCAAGATCCCGAGAAGAGAATGGAGAAGGGATTGCGGCGTGGCCATCCCCCCTGGGGGGTGATTTCTTGCTTTCTATCTCTCTTTCTTTCTCTGTCTGTCTGGTGAGCGCTCACGCCCTATAGCAAAAAAAAAAAAAAAAAAAAAAAAAAAAAGCATGCCTTGATGTGGGTTTTTTTGTTGTTTGCTTTTTTTAAAAGAATTATTTTATTCAACTTTATTATTTATCTATTTTATTTTAATTTGACCAGAGAGGGGCATAGTGAGAGAGAGAAAGAGACAGGCAGAGAGAGAGAGAGAGGGAGAGAGAGAAAGGGAGACAGCAAGGTGCCAGGTCTGAGACTCAAACCACAGTCAGCCATATGGGAGTCCAGCGCCCTTAGCCACCACATCACCTACCAGCCCCTGTTGTTTGCTTTTTATGTTAGCAGAGATCCACACTTCCAAGATGTTCCTCTGGTTATTCCTTTTTCTTTTTTTTCTTTTTTTTTTTTTTTTTTTAAGAGAGTGATTTTTGCTATAGGACTCATGTGCTCTCCAGAGACAGAAAGTGAGAAATCACCTTGTACGGGGAAGGCCATGCTGCTGCAATCCCTTCTCCATTCTCCCCCTGGGGATTTTGGGCACACACTCACAAGCGCCTAGCACAATTACTTAGAGTGAGATTAAGCGGCTGGGCCCAGGACTCAAACAGGTCAACTACACAATAAGAGTTCAGCAACATAACCATTATGCCATCTGCTGGTCTCTTTAAAAATTTTTGAGAGAGTTTTGTTTTTGTTTTTGTTTGTTTTTGCTATAGGGCATGTTTTCTCACCAGGAACCACAGTCAAACCATTACACCATCTGGTGGTCCCTCCTCTAGGTATTTCTAATTCACCCAATTTTGAGACGCACCCCACTAATATCTTTACCTCAATTTGGTTAACTCCTCCATGCTTTCAGCTAATTGAGGGGCTTAATTATTGCTTCTTTCAGAATCTCCTAATTTTCAAATCCCATTCAACTGCCAAGACTCAGACTCAAGGCCAGCTCTCCCAGGAGGTCTTTCCTGATCCCCTTTGCACTATGACACTCAGTTGTACTTTTATTTGCCAGAGGGCTCAAGCATTCGCCAGACAGAGAGACTGAGAGAAAGGGAGAAAGCACCCACCAGGGGGCGTGGTCATGCCCCAACGCCTTCTCCATTTCTCCATCCAGTTCGGATATGGGGTACACACAAAAACCCATCCTCTTCTTACAAACATCAGGAGGTTCAAACCACGTCAACCAAGTGGGATTCTGCACAGGCAAACCATTCTGCCCGGAGGCCTGAGGGCGGGATATAAAGGAGAGAAAAGAATTGCCCCAGGCACAGGAAGCCAATCTCTTATAGAATAGAGAACGCCACGCAGACTCTAAAAGGCGACAGGACAAGCCTGTCCTCCATCCCGCCGCCCCACCCCTGAAGTTCTCCTCTGTCTTCTATTGGCTGCTCCCTGCATCAGCCCCGCCTCACGTCCGCTCATGTGACCGTCTGCTCGCCGTGGGATTGGCTGTCCGCAGAAAGCCGCGCTGGGCTGTGGGATTTGGGCCTGCGGCGAGGCACAGCGGGTGGAGAGAGACGGCGATGGGTGGTGTCCAGACCCTGCGAGCTCAGAGCTTGAGAGCTCGGCTGCAGTCTTTCTTCCCCGCGTGCGACAGGCCTCCGGAGCGGTCTGAGGCGTAGGAGCTTGGAAAGCGGGCTGCGATCTGTAGCCTGGGTGTTAGACGAGCCCTGGCCTTATTCACGTTGCCGCGCAAGGACAACTCAGTCTCCCGAAGTTAGTCCTTATTATTGTATAGGTGTGCGGATGAGGGTCTGCCGTGTGTAACCCTCGGCTGTCTGGCGCAGGGAGCTGCACAGAGCGCCACGCGGTAGAGCCTGGGAACATGAAGCTTGGTATGGTCCTTATCTACGCGAAGCGATGGGGTAAGTCGGCTTTATATTGTGCTGATGCTTTTATAATCTAGGAGCAAAAGGTTTAGTAGAGAGGGCTGTTAACTGACTGAAGGCAGTGTTGATTTATTGAACCTCTTTCCATGTCCCAGAGCAGTGGCCGCAAAGGCCCGTAAAAGACAGGCCTGGGTCTTCAGGAACTCTGAGATGGGGCTGGTGGGAAAAACCACGGAAAGCATAAACTAGTGAATAATTGGCATGTGATGGTGCTGTCGGCGTCAGAGGAGGGGTTGACTGAGGGAATTAGGGCTAATTAAAAGAAGGTGACATTTAAAGAAGCTTTGGAAGTGTAAGTAGGCGCTCTCCCTATTAAAAGGGGCGGGGAAAGCCCTTCACGTGGAGCATAGTGTCTGAAGCAGAAAATTAGGAAAATGCTGTGTGTGGCCATAGCACGTGGACTGTTTGCCAGGAGCTGAAGATGAAGCTGAGAGGTAGATAGAAGTTAGGCTTTTTAAAAAATCTTGATACTCAGGATGTCTGGATTATGATTATTATTATTTTGGAGAGGTTTTTGCTATAGGGCGGGTGCGCTGGCCAGAGAAACAGAGTTAAGTCACACCACCATGGGATGGCCACGCCGCAATCCCTTCTCCATTCTCTCTGGATCTTGGGCATAAATGCACACGCACCTGGCGTGAGTTTAAGCCACTGGGTCTGGGACTCGAACACGTGGTCGACTACATGGGAGTCCAGCAACATAGCCATTACATCAGCTGCTGGTCCCAGAATGTCTGGATCTTAAAATACAAAGTGAAATAGGTACTTTGCTAATTCTGAGACAGGACAAATACTTCCTGTTGCATTTATGGCGCAAGGTTTCATGTAAAATTTGGCATTTTGGAGGATCACAAACTGGAGAGAGGAGTGAAGTACAAGAAGGATTTCTACAGAAGGCAAGAAGGACTTTCTGGATGGAGGGCACAAAGTCAAATAGAGCAGATTTGGGGACTAAAGAATAGTCTGAGTTGGTAAGACTTTAAGGACCAGTTTTGAAACATCATGAATGCTAAGCAAAGTAGTTGGGATTATATTTCCTGGACCATGGAGAGCAATTGAATGCCTATGACAATCACACCTTCCTATTATTTTAAAGGAAGTGTTTATGTGATATTTAGAGTACATTGGATGGGAGAGAAACTGGAGGCAGGAGACCCCCCTGAGGACATGGGCTTTAAAGTCAGGCACTCATTTGTTCAGAGCTTGGCTCCCACAGGTTTCATGATTTTAGGCAGAGCTGTCTAAATTAAGCTGTCTCAGGCTGTTTCCTCACTTCTTTTTTAAAAAATTATATTATTTAATTTTATTTTTATTTGACCAGAAAGGGAGTGAAAGAGAGAAGGAAAGTGAGAAAGAAAGCCAAGTCCTGGACTTACACCACAGTCGGCTATGCGGGAGTCCAGTAACCTTAACCACCCTTAACCACCAAGCCACCTACCAGCCCCATGTTTCCTTATTTCTAATGTGGACCTATTCACCTGCAGAGCATGATGAGCTAAGGGGTCAAACAAGCATAGCCCTTGAGTAACAAGCACTTCATAAGTTAGTTTCCTTTCTATGGAGCTTAATTGAGTAGTGAACATAGACCCACAGCTGTCAATGTTTAATTGTGGAGTATCAGTCAATTGACATTTTTAGATAGCCAAAAGGAATATAGAGTAGCTCCAGAATTGTTATTTACATACTGACAGTACCATGTAGATCTGGAGAGGGTGATTTTGTGATCCTTATACTTTTCTGTGTCAGCAATAGTATACGCCAGAAGGTGTTATTTGGAATAAATGAAACGTAGTCAAGCTTTCTCTTGCACAGATTCATCATCCAGGTTGTGAATTACCCAAACTTCCCTTGCTTCTTTTATTTTGCTTATGCCCTCCCTGATTAGTAAATCTGAGGGTAGGACCCTGGAGAAAAATGAAACTAAACCTTTTATTTAGCTGGTAGTGGAAAAAATGTGAATCTGTTCATCACACCTCAGTTCTCTATCCAGCTCTGTTAATTTGCTATGGACCTTTGGGAAATTGTAGCCTCTCTGGGTCTTGGACTCTGAAAATAGAAGATCCTGGTATAAAAAGTTTATGACTATACTTTTTTATCTCTTTTGGCAATGGAAGTATAAGTCAAGGAATTTACTAGAAAATCTTTTCCAAAGCTTTTGTTTTCAAACTAAGCCATAGTCACTTCATGAATGTCCCTGAGATTTTATAATGTATGGAAGTTTTTGAATGGTAAATGCTTCTCCACTGTCCTCTGTGCTTCAAAAACAAACAAGTTTGTTTGTTTGTTCAAGTTTGCGTTTTTTCTTCTGCTATAGGACACATGTGTCTGCTAGAGAGAGAGAGAGAGATCTCCACTGTCCTCTGTGCTTCAAAAACAAACAAGTTTGTTTGTTTGTTCAAGTTTGCGTTTTTTCTTCTGCTATAGTCTGCTAGAGAGAGAGAGAGAGAGAGAGAGAGAGAGAGAGAGAAATCAGTCCCTTCTCCACACTCCTCTTGGGATTCTGGGAATGCACATATGCACCATGTTTTTCCAGTCTCCAGTTCTGGACTCAAGCCATGCAATCAGCCATGTAGGATCCAACTGTGCCACCTGTTGGCCCCCAAGTTTGCATCTTTATAAAGCAGAGTTGTTTAAAGCAAAGCATCATGGAAGATAACATAATTGATTGCAACCTCATGGTTGACATTCATCTGAAAAGAAGCCTTTATTTTTTTTCCATAGGTAAGCCTAAGTTTTTTCGAATGTGAAAATAGGGTGTTGGGCTGCTCTTAGGCCATACAAGAATGTGGAATGCAATGATGCAATGATGAGTGAAGTATAGTCTGACCTGGTATTGCCATTGCTTCGATGTTGGCTTTGACCAGGGTGTGATCCCTTAATCTTCTCTCTGAGCTGATTCTGGTTGTAGTCTTACCACACAGGTGTGTTCTAACCTGTTTGGACACTGGTTTTATTATGTGTAAGAGTGGTTTTTTTAAATATATATTCTTTTGAATTACTGATACTTTCTTTGCCTTTTCCTTCCTTCTTAGGTTGAAGAATCTGGCTTTGAAATCTTCATGGAGGAATATGTCATTTCAATCCTGAATCTGGTTCAATTCCCTTATTGATTTATTACTGTATTAAAAAATGTTTTAACCATGGTATTTGTTTTGATAAACCTTTGAGGTTTTATAAGAACTTTTTTTTGAGAGAGTTTTATTGCTATAGGGCGTGTGTGCTCACCAGAGAGAGAAAGAGACAGAAAGCGAGAAATCACCTCCCCAGGCGGGTGGCCATGCCACAATCCTTTCTCCTCCATTCTCCTTTTGGAATTTTGGACATGCATGTGCACACACCTGGCATGAGTTTTAAGCTACTGGGTCTGGGACTCAAACTGCAGTATACTACATGGGAGTCCAGCCATGTAACCATTATGCCATCTGCTGGTCCTAGTTTTAGGAGAACTTTTAAAATATCTATTGTACCCTTCTTATGATATATAAAGTTTCAAGATTTAAAAATCCACAGGATATTCCATTTCAAAATTTAGCTTTATTATTTTTTGACTACCAAAAAATGTGATTGGGGTCGCTAAAATTAATTACAGATTTGAAGACACATACCTCAGTAGAGGCGCTTATAAATTATTTTCATCTACACTCTACTATAAATGATTTTTCTCCCATGTTTTTACCAGCCTGCCAATCCAATGACATAACTTTTCCTACATGGGCAACTTAAGTGTTTCTGTATTTCTCATACAAGGTATTCACATGAGGCTGAATTTTTGCTGTCAGAGCAGAGTTTTTGATCCAACTGTCGGATTAGGGCAAAAAAAAAAAAAAAAAAAAGCCAATGGTGGCCTAAATGAACATTTATTTTGAACACTTCAAGTAATCTTTTAAGTGTCCACATAATCATGACAACATGGAAAGTTCTTTGTCAGAAATATTTATTTCAAAAATTTACTTAAGTATTTCATAGAAATTTTAGTAATAACCAAAATAATTGATGTCAGTTTAGCAAACTTAACAGCAAGCAGAAAGAACTTACTAAAAGACCTTTTCTTTAAACATCAGTATTTTACTTCACCTCTTTATTGCTTATTAGCTGTTTTCACACTGAAATCTTCAGACTACTCTCTATATAAACACTCAAGCCCTACTTTCCTTTAACCAACTCTTCCAAGAATGATATGTATGGCTCATAAAGGAATCTTTGAACATTGATAAACTACACCAGATGTCACTTAACAAATGGGTCACAGTATTTGGAAGGAGCTACTGTGTTTTTGAAGTGTCTCTAAGTATTTCTATAAAGGAGTAGGGCCACATTTCATACTGTTTGCAACCTGATAAAACCTCCACCTCACAGGCAAATTACTTATTTCTTAGGTTATTGCCAGAGGGAACATGTGCTTACCAGAGAGAGAGAGAGAAAGTGAGAAATCAACCCCCAGTGGGGAATGGCTACGCTGTAATCCCTTCTCCATTCTTCTCTCAGGATGTTGGGCATGCACACATATACACCTAGCATGACTTTCAAGCTGCCTGGTCCAGGGTTTGAACCATGATCAGCCATGTGGGAGTCCAGCACCTTAACCACCATGCCACCTGCTGGCCCCAGTGTTTTCTAAAGAGAGTGCCTGTTTCCCCCTCACCACCCACATTATGAGGTCTAACCTGCATTTTTTTCCTGGGAGTTTCTATACCTCACATTCTTTAAGGAACAGATAGAGAATGTCCCATATTTATTATCCTCTTATATCCTCCTCCTCTACAGTGGTCCTCACATCCTGTCAGTTCTAATTGTCCTACTCTAACCAGGTTGGTCAACTATCAGTAGGGGTTTACAGAGGAGGCCAAAAGGTTAGGATCAAATGGTTATATCTTTTTAAAGAAATCCATGTAGTTGTTTAAAGTTCATATACTTATGAGTTAATTCTGAGAAGTATCA